ATACAATAAAAATTAAATGGTACCTCTTGCAAAAATTCATTTTCACAAAAAGGAAACAATCCTAATAAGGAACCACGAACTCGAAATCACGAAATGGAACCTCGACCTCAGCTTTGTTTGTGAGTGAAAGAAATATAAAGTGGGGGTGATTTTGGTTGCTGATTTTTCTTCTTTTTCTTTTTTGTTGTGTGTCGTGTGTGTCTGTATGTGTTTAGGATAGTTGCTTTTTTTTCTTGTTTTTGTGCCCATCTCTCTGTGTGTGGGTGTGTATTTGTATTGTAGTGTAGTAGTATGTATATAGGTGTAGGGGAGTGGAGTGGGGTGTGTGGGTAGTGGAGGAAAATGTGAGTGGGTAATGGGGTAAGTGTAGGTGGGTTGGGGTAGTTGGGTAGTTTAGGCTATTATATTTTTTCTGATAAAAGATTGCCTGTTATTCATCATATTTACCCTATTGAGCCAGTGTATGGTTCGGCTCGTAATCGTGCTGCTTCTTTACATACCATACCTTCTATTATATCTGCTGATCAAATTAAACTTGTTAATAAAATACGACCATGATACAAGATCTCTGAAGACTGTCGGTAATCCGAGCGGTCATCTGCAATCTAGTTTAGCATTTGAACTCAAAGAATAAATCTGTATCAAAATATCGATGATTGTATGGAAGGATCTTTACCCGAGAAAGGGGCCTGTCAACATTTAAGGCATATTGTTATTGAGCCCATGTGTCTAGCAGTTCTAACCAGGTATAGGCACCCTCTTTTCTCCTCAACGGGATTAGAACCACGGCTGGCTAGACGAAGTCACAAAGACAAAGCCAATGACAATAGTATCAAATATGATTGTACCACTATCTCAGAACCAAATCAAGAAACCATATATAAATTTATTTATATTTTGATAAAGTCTAGATCTTTCATGGTTTATATAAAAGTGAAGTTAGTTATCCGACATAGATATGAATCTTTAGTCGGACATAGTCACGGCTCAGATCAAAGAAATACTAAAAGATGTAATTAGAAATAATATAATACCTTATAACAATGGCTGACTCCAAGTCCTATGAGAGAACTATAAAAGTTTTATTTACTTCCGGTCAGTAACTGGTGAACTCAAACTTTACAAATTGAGAGCTTTACAATTGGAGAGAGAGAAGTACTGAGAGAAGGGTTTCTAAGTTGTTCCCTAATGAAATGAAAAACAAACATACTTATAGAAAAATAAAAAAAACATTTAGTATCTTTGTACAGTATTGTTGGGTCCCATCTGTCCCCTAAATAGTGTATCTACTGTTGATCAACAGTGTATCTACGGTTAATGATGGTTTTTTACTGTAGAGATGTCCTTACAGTTTGTCTTTTTCCTTTAATTTTCAAAGGAAATCCTCCATCTTTCTCAGAGTATCTTTTGACGTAGCTACTTCAACAGGTTGAGCTTCTTAGATATCATCGGTAGCGTCTTCGCTCGTTTCATTTCTCATAGAAGTGTACGATTTTTCGTATTGAGTGATGTTGAGAAGCAGACTTCCCTTGACTTCTTCTAAATAGTTGTTGATCATAGCTTCTTTATCTCCATCTTGAATGGAGATTTTCCTGGCAATATGCCTGACTGAGCTATCTGCAATTACTCTTTTTTGGGGAGTAATACCATATTTGTGGATCCTTTTTGAAATAAGATCCAACAGTTCTTACCCATATAATGTTTTTGTTTTGGGATCCTTTTTCATCAATTTATCCCAAAAATTCTTTTAAAAAGTTCTATATAAGCAAGGATTTTGTTCCTCGGTGAATCCCACTTCCGGGGTCCATTTATGAATCCAAGGGATGGAAAATTCAATTCAGAAGTAAATCTGATCTATTTTCTCTAGATGACAGATATGATATGTATTGTACAACTCATTAAGGTCTCGTGAAACTTTAACCCAGTCTTTATATAATTTGAGAAAGGGATCCGGTAAAAATTTTATAGTTGGGCCGTGGTATGACCACCAATTTAGAAACCAATTAGAAATTGGTCCTGCAAATATCTTTGCACATATTTTCATAAACCACTTATGTTTATGTCTTTCGTTACTATAATAGAGGACTTTATCAAAGGCCTGAATATAGTACCAGTAAGTGAAACTCATAGCTATTTTGTTTAGGCTGATCTGCCTTTTTTTCATGGTGGAGATACTCCGATTTTCAACATATATAATCTGCTTAATTATCATTTTTGAGAAGTTATAAACATTCTCACTTGTATTATAGCCTGAAAAGTGTTGAAATTCAACTCTACCAGTGCTTATCAGAATGGTTTCATAATATGATCAATTTTTGTATGACTCCACCGGGAATATAAACCGTTTATTAGGTATTGCTGGAATATCTTCCAGGGTTCTTCTTTTCTCTGAATTTCAGAATTTTCTAAAAGAAATATTCTTTCTTTCTTTGACACCTTTTCATAAGACTTGATGTCATCATTGTCTTCTTTGCCTATTGATGCAAAGGTATCATTTTGCTTTTGTGACAGATAAGCCTGTAGTTGTGCATATAACGGGCTGTCATCTGGAATATCTTTCAGATGCACTGAAGAATGTGCTGAAGATGACACCTCACTTTGGGAGATTCTTGAGTTTATCAAACTCCTTCTTCCCATTTGCATAACTGGGGTGTTAGAAGAGGATCCATATGATGATCATGCGGATGATCTTCCCCTTCCGCTTGTATTATTTTCCCTACCTCTGCCCTTGGTTACCCAAGGAGGGTCCATCCTGCAAACATAACACTTTGCTTTATTCGGATATATCATAATAATCACTGTAATAATTATTCTCATCGATATTGACAATTTCTTCATAATCATGTATAGAGAAATCTTCTCTAATAATATCATTAATAATTTCACATAAAATTAATTCCTGCATATCTTTATTAAGAGGAATTATTTTTAAAATAGCAACTAAAGTTTTCTCATCAATGAAAGTTGTATAAAAACTCATTGTAAATTTAAATATTCTCTAGATAGAAAATCCGAAAGAGAGTTATCACTTCCCTTCTTATATTGATTCTCAAAATCAAAAGGAGCTAACTGGGTCTGCTACCTAGCAAATATTAATTTTGATGCATCATGTTTAAAATCTTTATTAAACATATACTTAACAGATTGAGCATTAGTGTTTATTAAAATCTTTTGATTATATAAATCATGCTGAAATTTTAACACGCATTTGACGATGGTTAACATTTCATGAGCCACCATAGCATATTTCTTTTGGGCCTCACTCCATTTTTCAGAATGAAATCTGATCAAATATTCATATTTGTCGTTGGGATTAATTTTATTTTAATATCCCACCATAACCAATATTAGACGCATCTGTCTCAATAATTTTTTGCCAAGCAAGGTTAGCAAGATTTAAGTAGGTAAAGATTGAATAAGAAGTTTAATATCTTTTACAAAAGTGGTATGCCTATCAGTCACGGTGATTTATGATTCTTTTTCAGCCTGTCGTATAAAGGGGCCAAATCATGAGATAATTTTTTATAAAAAGGGGATATGTAATTTAAACTCCCTAAAAATCTTTGTAATTGAGTCCTATTAGTGATAACATTAGGAAATTTTGATGCAAAGTCTATTGATCTTTGAATCGAGGTAACTTTCCCTTGACAAATATGATATCCTAGAAATCGAAGATCAATTTGGAACAAACTCATTTTTGGTTTAGAAATGACCAAACCATTTTGTGTAACAATTTTTTTACAGATATCAAAATGTTTAATATGCACTTCAAACGTTTTTGAGAATACCAAAATCTTATCAATATAAACAATGATAAAATCCAAATATGGGTTGAAAATATCAATCATGATTTTCTGAAATTCAGATGGAGCATTTTTCAAATCAAATGACATAACATTTCATTCATATTGTCCAAATAGGACATTAAAAGTTGTTCTATAAGCATGCTCTTTAAATATTTGGATCTGCCAATATCTTGATTTTAAATCAAATTTTAAAAATATATTGGCATCATATAATCTTGACAATAAATCTCTTTTGTTTGGAATAGGATACCTAATCCATTTTAAATATTTATTTAAAGGTTTATAATTGAAAGCTAATCTAGGGACACCTCGTTCCCTTTCAGCAGCATTGTTAACATAAAATGCAGTACAAGATAAGGTGATTTTGAAAGTTTTATAAAACCCTTTGTAACAAATTATCAATTTCCTTTTAGCAGAATTCTACCAATTCGGTGTTCATCTGACAAGGGCAAGAATTAGTAGAAATATCATTCTCAGAGAAATCATCTTTATATGGAAGAGTAACAATATACTTTTTTCGATTCCAAAAAAGTTCTAGTATGATCGGCACAGATATCAACTGCAATTTGTTCAGAAATTAATTTCATTTTTTCCTGTACTTTGGTGGATTTCAAAGTATCAAATGTATTTATGCTAAACAATTCTAGTTGCAAAGAGTCAACATGCCTTTGTTTCATATTAATCAAAGCATTAATATCACGAGAAATAGGGTCAGTGATAAAAGTATAACTAATATCTTTGTCTTCATAAGTAGCAGAAAAACCTTTAGCATTTATGCTAGTAAAAGGATAAATAGCATTTATAAAATGGGTTCCAAGTATAATTGGAGGGTATAACTGATTTTTAACCAAGAAAAAGAAATACGGAATGCAAATTTTATTTTGGCACATGCGAGTATTAGGTAATTTTTACTTTATATCTAAAGCATGTCGAGAAGCAGATTTAACCATATGAATTATTTTTTCAAAATATTTAGTAGGTACAAGACCTTCTTGAATACAACTAACATCGGCTCCACTATCAATCATGGCAATATCAGTTATTGAAAAACTATTATCAATCAATATGTTGCATTTAACATACCATTTATGAGCAGTAAAAATTTGCATATTTCCTAAAAACATACCTTGTCTAGGATCAACATTAAAAGGTTTTGCAAGAGTATTTTCTTCAACAATGTTTTTACCTTTGTTATTAACAGTTTCTATGAGTAAGTTTATGATCACAAATCATTTGATCTCGTTTAAGAGATTTAATCTCATTTTTCAAATCATCAAAGGAAGAATCTCTTGTAGGAGTAGTTTGTTTATTAAGTCTGTTATTAATTTCAGACAATGAATAAGGTGCAGCATATTCAGATTCAACATCATTCTTTTGTTTTTCTGAATTTTTTGAAGAACTTGAACTAGCATTATTTGAAGCCAAATGAATAATTTTTTCTCGAAGATCATTATCAGTGACCTCCTTTAAAAGCTCTATCACATTATCAGAAGTGATAGTATTTATATTTAAATCTTGAAATTGAGATTGTAGTTTATAAAATTCATCATTTTCACAAGAACAAATATCACCCTGACAAGAATTGCAAATATTCATTTTATCATGCTGATTACTATCAGATATATAGAGTAAATCAACTTCTTCTTCAGAATCTGAATCAGAATCATAAAAGACTCAGAACCAGAAGTGCAAAAGAAACTATAAACCTTATCATGAACTTCTTCATCAAGTTCTACGGATTTTAACTTTTCAAGCTTACAATTCGGTGCTATATGACCGAAATTCACACATCTATAGCACTTGATTTTAGCGAGATCTCGCTTGGACCTATTCTTGGTAAATCTATTAAACTTACGAAAGGCTTTTCAAGCATTGCGTTCTTCCTTAGATCTATATCTAGACCTCTTTTTCTTGTAAGGTTTATCAGGATTGGAGTATCTAGAATCTCTATGTTTCTTCTTCTTGCTATTAGCAGAAGTATCAGGTAAACCGTACTGGGTACAAAAGTCTCCTAGCTGAGATCTTTCTTTAAGCTTATCCATCTTAATTTGTCTAGATAACTTCAATTCATTGCACAAATTTATACCTTCTTGAGTGCAAACTCCTATCAGCTTACCATAAGTATAATCCTTCTAAGGAAATTCACCATGATCATTCCTCAGAGTTTTTCTAACTATTTCTGCAAACAAAGGGGGAAGGTCATCTATCAACTTAGCTTTCTAATGCTCATAATAATTTTTAGGCAATTCCATCACCCTACTCATATAAGTATCTTTATACCATCTAAATTCTCCTAAGGTTCTACAACGTAGACCATTTAACAGGGTACCAACAGTCTCATACTGATTGGTAAATCTACCATTAAAATGTTCTAAAATGATTAAGACTAAAGTATAAACAGCGTCTTCTCTATTTTTCACTAGAGCATGCCCAAGTTATCAACATCTTCGTTATCAGCAATAGCATTTATCACCGCTGCTTTTTATTCAATACTCATATAATTATCCTACTAACCTCTTAGTTGTCCAATAAAACCTGTAATAATCGTTTGGCAAATATTTCTATCTATATTTTTAACACTTTTACATATAGTTACATGCATAAGCATTCTATGAACAAGAATAGTTAAATGTCTATCAGTCAAACCATCAAGATTCCATTCATATATTTCAGACCCATTATAAGAGGTATTAGCCTGATTCCAGTATCGTTCCTCTATTAACACATCTTGAGGAGTTGGTCTGGAATAATAATAGGTATGCATGCTAGGTTTATGGGCATACTCGTATTACTATTCATTTTAGGATAACCATGAAGTTTATTAAATTCTAAGGAAACATGATTTTTAAAATCAAAAGTTTTTTCTATTTCATCTGCAAAATTGTTTGACAAATCAATAGACTTTGCACCAAATTCAGACAACTTTTTATCAAGAAGTTCTTCTAAATCATATAACGATTTAAATTTAAAATCCCGAATCTCATAGGGCCTTTGCACATAAGTAGAAATAATTTGAGCTTCTGAATTACCTTCAGAAGTAGAAGCCATATTAGAAGTCTTAAAATAATTTTTTATTTGAATTATCAAAGCAGTTAATTTAACCAATTTTTTATCAAGAGAAGTAATATGTTCACCCAAAACTTTAACATAAAGTCCCAAATAATTATTTTGGGAAATTAAATTATTTATTTCATTGATGCTGACTGCCATAACATCTTCTTCAACAAATTTTTGTAAGGCAGTAAAGGTGATGTTTGTATTATTTGGTAAAATAAAAGATGACTGAGGAGGATAAACAACCTTAATAATATTACTAGATCCATCTTTATAAGATTGTTCAAGAATGTTGATGAATAAAGGTAAATAAGTGGTTATAAACCAGGGTACAAAATACATAATTTGTTTATGTAGAGCACAAGTTTCATAAGATTCTTGAGAAATATTATTCAAATCATTAGCACTATAAGTGTCAAAAAAATATGTTTTAAACTGGTTCCATTTTTGAAAATTCATTCTGAATGTACTTTCTTGCCAGTGAACCTGGACTAAAATCTATTTGGTGTACATTCATCATTAAATTTTATTAGGATGAGTCGAACCATACACTGGTTCAATAGGAGAAATATGATGAATAACATGCAATCTTCTTTCAGAAAAAAAATGTCTACTATAAGGAATATCATTAAAATGCATGCAAATCCTACCATCAAGATTTTGTTTAATATGAGAATACTCAGAATTAGTGACAACATTTGTAATTTGACTAGGGGATATAACAGAATCCAAAGTCCAAGTAGTTGGAAAATTAATTTCTTCCTATTTTATAGGTCTTCTAGTAGTGACCTTAGATTTAACAAAATTAGTTTCTACTAAAATAGTCTGATCAGATGTATCATATAACTTACATCTCGGGTTTAACGTAGATAGTAATTTAAAATAAATTATATAAGATAAACAGATTAATTCAGATCCAGGTGCATAATTCCAACCATGTGTTTTAACATTTATAGTTAAAGCATCAAGAATATTAGCAGCAATTAAAGATAAATGCAAATTAGGCTGAGTATTAAAATATATCGGGCCATTGCCACAGTGGACTCAATCAAACCCAATAATGATTTTCTAAGATTTAAATTTCTAGTATCACGAAGAGCAGCTAAAAATGTCTCAGGTAACCCTTTAAGGGTTAACGGTTTAAAAGCAATTTGAACCATGCCAATATGCAAGAAATTATACTGTTTTTTATATAACTCAATATCTCATTTATTTAATAAACGAATAGTCTGTTCAGATGAATTTAACGCCAAAGATTGCTCAGTAGTTTTTATTAACTCTTTATGAGATATTTTATCAAACCAACCATAATCATAAATAGTTTTAATATCAATTTTTGGAATAGTCCATTTGTTTAACAAATCAAAGTTTTGAGGTATATCTACCTCTTCCAATCTAGTACTTTTAGTACTCACTTCTCCTAGATCCATATTCAAAAGAACATATCTATGTCGTATACTTCACATCAATCTCATATTTACCATGAAAGTTCCTAGGCTCAGAGAGGATCTTTGAAGACAGTCAGTAATCTGAGCGGCCATCTTCAATCTAGTTTATCATCCTAACTCAAAGAATAAATCCGAATCAAAATATATACAAATTTTTATATAGTTTGATGATTGTATGGAAGGATCTTATCCTTTACTCGAGCAAGTGGCCTGTCAAGATTTAATATGTATTGTTATTGAACCCATGTGTCTAGCATTTCTAATCGGGTATAGGCGCCCTTTTTTCTCCTCAACTGGCTTAGAACCACGGCTGGCTAGACGAAGTCACAAAGACAAAGCCAATAACAATAGTATTGAATCTGACTGTACCACCATCTCAGAACCAAATCAAGAAATCATAGATAAATTTATTTATATTTTGATAAAGTTTAGATCTTTCATGGTATATATAAAAGCGAAGTTAGTTATTCGACATAGATATGAATCTTTAGCCGGACATAGTCACAGCTCAAATCGAAGAAATACTAAATAACGTAATCAGAAATAATATAATACCTTATAATGATGGTCGACTCCAAGGCCTATGAGAGAAATATACAAATTTTATTTACTTCCGGTCAGTATCTGGTGAACTCAAAATTTACAAATTGAGAGCTTTACAATTGGAGAGAGAACTAGAGAGAAAAGGGTTTCTAAGCTGCTTCCTAATGAAATGAAAAACAACCCTCTTTATAGATAAATAAAAATAATAGAATCTTTGTACAGTATTGTTAGGTCCCATCTGTCCCCTAAACAATGTATCACAGTGTATCCTACTATTGATGATGGCTTTTTACTATAGAGATGTCCTTCCAATTTATCTTTTTCCTTTAATCTTTGGAGAAAATCCTCCGTCTTTCTCAGAGTATCTTCTGACGTAGTTACTTCAACAGGTTGAGCTTTTTGGATATCATCAGTAGCGTCTTCGCTCGTTTCACTTATCATAGAAGTGTCCAATTTTTCATATTGAGTGATGTTTAGAAACAGACTTCCCTTGACTTCTTCTAAATAGTTGTTGATCATAGATTATTTATCTCCATCTTGAACAGAGATTTTCCTGGCAATATGTCTGACTGAGCTATCAGCAATTATTCCTTTTTGGGGAGTAATACCATATTCGTGGATCCTTTTTGCAATAAGATCCAACAGTTCTGGTCATATAAAGTTTTTGTTTTGGGATCCTTTGTCATCAATTTATCCCAAAAATTATTATAAAAGTTCTATATAAGCAAGAAATTTGTTCTTCGGTGAATCCCACTTCCGGGGTCCATATATGAATCCAAGGGACGGAAAATTTAATGAAGAAGTAAATTTGGTCTATTTTCTCCAGATAACAGATATGATCTGTATTGTATAACTCACTAAGGTCTGGTGAAACTTTAACCCATTCTTTATATAATTTGAGAAAGGGATCCAGCAAAAATTTTATAGTTAGGCTATGGTATGACCACCAATTTAAAAACCAATTAGGAATTGGTCCTGCAAATATCTTTGTACATATTTTCATAAACCACGTATGTTTATGTCTTTCTTTATTATAATAGCGAACTTTATCAAGGGTCTGAATATGGTCCTAGTATGTGAAATTCATAGCGATTTTGTTTAGGCTAAGCTGCCTTTCATTCAAGGTGGAGATACCCCAATCTTCAACAAATATAATCTGTTTAATTATCATTTTCGAGAAGTTATAAACATTCTCACTTGTATTGTAGCTTGAAAAGTGTTGAAATTCAACCCTACCAGTGCTTATCAGAATGATTTCGTAATATGATCGAGTTTTTATGACTCACCCAGAAAATATAACCCATTAATTAGGTATTGTTGGAATATCTTCCGGGGTTCTTCTTTTCTCTATATTTCAGAGTTTTTAAAAAGAAATATCATTTTCTTTTTTGATACCTTTTCATAAGACTTGATATCATCATTGTTTTCTTTGGCTATTGATGCAAAAGTATCATTTTGGTTTTGTCACAGATAAGCCTGTAGTTGTGCATATAAAGGGTTGTCTTCTAGAATATCTTCCAGATGTACTAAAGAATGTGTTGAAGATGATGCTTCACTTTGGGAGATTCTTGAGTTTATCAAACTCCTTCTTCCCATTTCTATAACTA